AGATCCTGTAACCTGCCCACCTCCCCCAGTTAACATTGACTGCAGCTCTTTCAAGTCTGAAGTTTCCAAACACCCTTTAAATTGAGTCCCATGTAAAACATGTTACCATACTACCAGGGTATGTATCCTTGGTTACAGGGCCAGATCTGGTGTCTGAAGGAATGGGTACAGTCGGCACACAAGGTTTAAATGAGTAAAACCACTCCTAGCCATTGCAGAACCTTGGGATAAGTCCAAACTCCAAACCTATGTCATCAGGGGGATTGTAGTCCTGTTTTAACACAGGCTGAATCCCTGTTACCTCATCTGCTTTTCGATTGACCAGGAGCACCTCTAGCCTATATAATTTTAAAAATAGATATACATATTACACCTGTGTTGAAAGCTCTTCACTGGCTGCCGATTAGTTTCCGGGCGCAATACAAAGTGTTGGTCGCTACCTTTAAAGCCCTTCATGGCTTGGGTCCGAGTTACTTGAAGGAATGCCTCTCCCTACATAATCCACCTCGCACTCTTAGAACATCAGGGAAGTATTTGTTAGAATATCATAACACCAGATTAAAGGTAACTTCCCAGAGATCGTTCACAGCAGCAGCTCCTAAGCTTTGGAATAGCCTGCCGGAGGATCCGCCTTATTAATAAGATCCGCCTTATTAATACACTAGAAGCCTTTAAGAAGGCACTTAAGACGGAGCTCTTCTGGTGGGCTTACCCACCTGACCTTCCTAATTTGTAAAAAACTAATTGCCTTATCAATATGACCTTCCGGGTATGTGAAGATGAAGTCAACCGGCTCTCTGGATAGGGGATAGGGCATGGCTTTTAATTTAGAGGGATTATGGGGTTTTATTGTGGGGGGGGGGGATATTGTTGTTGTGGTTTTTATATATTTTATGCTTTGTATTTTTATATTACTTGTTATCCCACTTCGATCTGTAGGGAGAGGCAGGAAATATAAATAAAAATTATTATTATTATTAGTATTAGTAGTAGTAGTAGTAGTAGATGATACATGAGAATGGCAAATTGTTTCAGAGGCCTTTGACCACAATATGGAGAGTTGCATGAAGCTGTTGACTTAAAAAGTTAGAACACCTGTGCTATGTGACAAATTACTTTTAAAACTTGTGACATAATATGAAGGATTGCCACTCAAAGCGGGGTGGTGGTGAAATTTCCATAGAGCATAGAAAACTCCTTGGGCACACTTAAAGCAATGTTATAAATTGTGTCCAACTGCTAGGTTCTGAATCCTTGACTGTGAAAGCTTGATTTCATAATTGTGTTGAACTTCAGATTTAGTGCCGGAACAGACGGCCCTTTAAAGCTGCTGTCCAGGCAGTTTGGGAGCGTAGTGTCTCATGCCGCCCAGAAGTCAGGTGACTGCCCAGACGTGGACAGCTTCAAGGCGCTCTGGCAGCGCAATGTTTATATGCCACACACTGCCAGAGTGGCTTGAAACTGCTATGGAGGTGTGGCAGGGTGGGAAATGCCACCTTTTCCTTGGCCAAAAAAGGAGTGGATCTTTGCCACTCCTTTTTCAGCCAGCTTCATGGCAGATTTGGGTCACAGTGTGTGTTCGCTGCGGTCCCAATCCATCTTTGGAAGGGATGGCTTCTACCCATCTGTTTTGCTCCTTGGTTAGTTATTTGTTATTTTTGAACAGATCTTGTGCTCTTCCTCCATAAATTGCCTTCTTAGGCACAAATGCCTATAACTGAAATATATAAGGGAGGCAGTTTTTTACAAAAGATTTCCTTGTGGAAATAGAACAAAATATAGATACAGCTGCTGATTTACCATGGAGTACTCATTCATAAGTACATCACCATTCAAGCTGCAGAAAGATAACATTTTGGAGATTGAGAGCTGTCATTCTGTATATTCATATGCACTTACAGGCACCATACTGTCAGGATATATGGAATTTTAAAATGTTTTCAAGGAGTTAAACAGTGTGCTATATACTAGTTCCAGTGGAACTCTTGTTAAAATTTAGCAGAAATGCTTTCCATGCAAAGGAAAGAAAATACAGTCAGCCCTCCGTTTTCTCAGAGGATCCATTCCAGACCTCCTCCTGGCAAAAATGGAGACTTGCCAATATCCAAGCCCCATAGGCTTGAATGGGGCACGCCCCATTGATTTTAACAGTGGTCACCCCTCCGTGAATAAGCAAAACCGCAAACCTCAAGTCCATGAGAATGGAGGGGCGACTGTAGTATCAAAATATTAAACACACACATATACACAGTGTAGTACCATATTCAAAAATTGTTTAGTGAACATAATTTAAGAGCTGATTATACAAAGCAGATAGGTAGCTTGAATAACCTGGGGACAACATTTGCTGATTTTCTTTTTAAGCTTGTGAGATTCATTTGAATAAATTTAGTTGTCAGCATTTAAGAACACACATTGCTAATGCCTAAAATTAAGTGCCTTATTGAAAACAGTAATCTATTTATCTATTAAAAGCATCATATTTTGATTTCCCTTTTACGTTTTGCACATTTTTGTGCCATAATGTAATAATACATAAACACTTTAAATTAGCCCCACTTGGTCCATCAGTCAAACATTTTGCTGATTTATTAATAAAATCCATTAAAGCTTGAATCCCTAATCATAAAACAGTTGGTTTTGTTGAAAGATGTACGTGTTACAGAGTTGTGGCCAAAATCTTTGCTTATAGCACTGGTCTCAGTGAAGACGTGTGTGTTGTGTGTGTGTGTATGATGCACAGAGAGAGAGCGATTAGGTTGTAGCAGGGTTTTTTTGTTGTTGTTGTAATGTCAATGTTTTTGTACTTGTGTTAAATTTGCTGTAAAAATGTAGTCAAAGAATTACTGCATAATGCCTAGTGGTAAAGTAAGATGTTTAATCAGTTTTGATCAGTATATAAAGATTGAGGTATACTGATAAAAATATTTCTGTGATATATACTGTTGCTTACTAACTGCACATGGTTAGTAACTGGGTTTTTTTCCTAAACACCCAAGATTTTTAATGTAAACCTTTATTTGGTTCTGTAATTTTAGTTATATACTTTTGGTTTTGTAGCCAAGAGCGTTATTAGGGGAATTAATAATTAGCTCAAATTATGAAAGGGGCTGGCTACACCCACCCTGCGAATATCGCCTCCCAATATGTATACCGAGTAGACCAGGGGATTTGAGAAAGAGAGCAGAGACAAGCTTCTCCAATTAATATCCTAATTTATTAATAACAATGGCAACACACACAATGCACAAACATATACACACTCATACAAGGCTCAGGATAATTAGGGGTTGCTTGGGAAAGGTTACGAGATAAAACTACGGGTGATATTCACTAAAGATGAAGCTTTCTCCAGAGTCCAGTTGGGTGAAGTGGTGTGAGACACAACTGTTCTGAGAGCGCGAGATGAACGGAGGTGCCGGTAACTAGATCAGAGAACAAAGTGACACAGGGTCCCCCTGAACTCAGGCTAGCAACACTGAGGGGAGAAATCTAGGTGTTTTTAAGGGATAAAACTAGCTGCAGGGCAAAGATGTGAGACTGCCTAAGTGAGGTAATCTGGTCTGTCAATATTCAAGGGGAAATGGGAGAGGATTAAGTCATTAGCTGGCCCATCAGGTGAGACATCTAGGCCATTATCACCCATCCTTCTGATTATGGAGATGATGATGGTCCATTCGCAACTCCCACACTATCTGCCTGAAGATGGAGGTTGGGGATTTTCCAGTCTTTCAAGTGACCTGGGCATGACCTCTTTGCCTTGCCATGGAGGCACCTGGAGTTCACTGCAGAGTGCATTTGGGGCCATGTGGAATTCATACACACACCAAAATTCAGAAAAATGCAACTTATGGTAACAGTTTTGTTGTTAATGTTTTAACACATTATGTATCCATTTCATTGTGGATTTTATTTACTTAGAAACTTATTTATTGCTTGGCAATAACATAGATTTTTGAGGACAAAGTTTTTTGAATTACTAAATATATTGTGGCTAATGCTAGATATTTGAAACGTGGAGAGTACAGCACCATGTTAAAGGGACAGTTTACAGCAGGGGTTGGCAAGATTTACTTACCTGGGGCCGGTCGCTGGTCCCCAGGTCTTCCTCAAGGCCTTGGGGGGGAATGGGGCGCACACACTCTCTCTCTCGTGCGCATGCGCAGTACTCCGAAAATACTGCGCATGTGCGCGCACTCCCGCTCACACATGCGCAGTACTTCCGGAGTACTGTGCATGTGCGAGCAAGCCCCGGCCTCCATTTTGGCCTCCTCCCACCATTCAATGTTGAATAAAGAGTTTGTTGATACCAGTATTAGCAGTGATGAAGGTTAACTCTGGTCTAAACTATTGAACTGAAATTTCTGATCCTGCTTAATGATGGTGCCAGAAAGCTGAAGCATAGATTTTAATTGACAGCCCATTGGTCAAATGCAACGAGTGCAGATCAGAATCGTGCTCAGATATAGATTCAGTTCAGATGAGAACGAGTGGTGTAGGTATATGTTAAGTAAACACTGAGAACAGTAGGGCCAGAAGGCATAGAAATTCAAGAAGTAGAACCTGTGAGATACCTATTCAAAAGATACACACACACACACACAAATGCCACATGGGATCTGCCCTAAAATGTTGTAGCCCCTCAACCAATAGGAGTGTGCCCATTGTGGATTCTTTCCAGATTATTATTCTCTTCCTTTTCAGGAGACTATAATGTGCTAAAGCAGACCAGTTCAGTCTCTGTTCCAGTTTAGTTTTGTGCTTTTCCAACTGAGTCTGAGCATTTTGTTACTTTTGAAATTTACTGTGTCTAGTCACTCCTCCTTTGACAGCTTTTTTGTGATGAGGGGCTTCCTTTGGGGCTCAATATATTTTGTGGTTTTATGTGCCTTAGGATTTATCTTGGCATTGCGATGTATCTTCATTAGTATATAAAATTATACTGTTTAGTGTATTGAAGAAAAGTTAAAAAACTAAAACCCTTAATTTTGTACAAACAAAATTGCATAGCATAGTGGTTTAAGCATTAGACTTCAGCTCTGAAGACAAGGGTTCAAATCCCTGCTCAGCCATGGTAACCTACTGGATGACCTTGCACAAGTCATACTCTCTCAGCCTTTGAGAAAAGCAAAGGCTCTGAACAAATCTTGCCAAGAAAATTCCATGCTAGGTTTGCTTTATTGTTGCCACAAGTTGGAAATTACTTGAAGGCACACAACCAAGTTCGGAATATACCTATACCAGTGATGGCGAACCTTTTAGGGGCAGAGTGCTCAAACTAAAAGGCCTTCCGACACCAGGTATTACTGATGCCAGTGCCGGGACTTCCACCCTTCAGTGTGGGACTTCTTCCCCCTGCCCTCCCAGGCCTTCAGCTGCCTTTCTAGAGACAGCTGAAGGCCCGGTGAGATGAGGTGGGAAGAAGAGGAACAGGTTCACGCCTCTTCCTCCTCCTCTCCCTGTGCTGCCCCCATCTGAAGACCAGGGAGGGCTGGGAAGGAGGAGGAACAGGTGCGTGTCTCTTCCTCCTCCTCCCCCTGTGCCATTCCTGGCCTTCAGAGAGGTAGCTGAAGGCCGGGGAGGGTCTGGAAGGAGGAGGAATAGGAGTGCGCCAATGCCCCTCCCCCCAATGCCATCTCTGGCCTTCAGCTGCCTCCGGAGCTGCAGCTGAAGACTGGGGAGGGTCGGGAAGGAGGAGGAACAGGCACACACTTCCTCCTCCTCCCCACCCTCTATGTGCTGGGGAAAATGGCTTTGCATGCGATTGGTTCACCATCATGGTCCTATACTAAAGGAGAGCAGCATACTGGTACAGCTGATGATACCTAAGCAAACATAATAGCTTTTGCCATCAGAGAAGCATGGCCAAGTAGGGTCTCCAAGAGTACTAGTCCAAAATTCAGGTCATCAGACCTAACTCCCACTTTCTGTCATGTCAGAAATATGGATATCAGTTAATAACAAAGGCAGAGATTGCAGAAGCATGCATTACTTACTTTATTCTGATTCCTTAAATAAGTGAATTGGGTCTGAACTTACAGAAGGGTTATCCAGCATTTAGGCTTAATCTTATTTGTGCTATGAGTCCTGTTTTATATCATTTGTACTCAAATGAGACCTAGTGATTGTTGCCAGCAATGGAACAGTCTTTGAAAGCTGCATCACTTTCTTTTGCAGAACTTGACTTAAACTGTGTTGTATGTGATTTGAAACAAGTCAGCATGTCTCTAATGTTAGTTTACATAAAATAAACATTGGTGAGATTAAGGAAAACTTTAAGAATAACCAGTTTAATTAGCCTAAGTTTTTGTAGAGTCTGGTCACTTTCATCAGAGAATCAGAAGTTTATATTGAAATAAATTGGCTAGTCTTAATCAGGCAGGGGTAGGCAACCTTTCCCCTTTAAGGGCCGAGGGACTTCAGCATCCAGAACCGCAGGAGCTATTGGCCAACATGGGACTATTGGCCAACATGGCTGAGGCTTCTGGGAGCTGAAGTCCCTCGGCCCTTAAAGGGAAAGGTTGCCTACCCCTGGTCTGAATGATGCCTGAATACTCTTTGTCTTTTCATACTGCAACAGACTAACATGGCTATCTCCGTGAAATTTATTATTGAGAACATAAAAGCATAGCCCTTTCCAACTTCAATTTTTTTCTTCTTACAACTGTGATTTCTGTCTTCTTACATTTTAATTTAAAGCACAAGTAAAAGGTCATTTTCCTCCGTTTGAACTAAATTAGGTTTTATAGCTGCTTGATAACTCTCAATAGCTTACGGGATGAGGCTGAAAGAAAGAGGATGTGCTCATTAAACTCCAGGAGAATTACTTTCTCTTTTTAATGTGTTTTTGTCCAGGTATGTTTGGGTATAGACAGTTGACAAAAATAATGTTGAGCTAGTGTAGATTTACTTTGCTATTTTTAAAAAGTATACGATAACTAATGGAGCGTAGCAGGGAGTTCCAAAAGAAAATCATAGACTATAGCAAAGTGTTTCACTGCATAGATCATGAAAGGCTATGGAACGCCCTTAAAGACACTGGAGTGCCAACACATCTGATAGTCCTAATGAGGAATCTATACTCAGGACAAGAGGCTACTGTCAGAACAGAACATGGAGAAACAGAATAGTTCTCAATTGGCAGAGGGGCTACATCCTATCACCTTACTTATTCCAACGTATATGCAGAACATACTGTAAGGAAAACAAGCTTGGACATGGAAGAAGGAGGAGTGAAAATAGGAGGAAGAAATATC